GACCTGTATTCACACTGATGACTGTCACCCTGCCCCTGTGGTCACAACTGCAATTTGGGCATTTGGCAACTGGCTCAGTTATGACTGGTTGAAGCATCCTATGATCATGTGACTCGGATTTGTAACCATTTTTGCTAATTTCCAGCAAAAAAAAAACACATTGAGGAAGCTAGTTTCAATTAACAAACATGTGATTCACTTTGTAACCACTGTAAAAATTGTCATAAAATCTGGTCTTGCTCAATTTACAGTCACAATGATTTATGATGGACATTCCAGTCCCAAATAGAGTTGAAAATTGTGGACTACTTATAGATTCTTAATATGAGCAAGGGGTTGGTTTCAATAGCCCATCCAACTTTAGGATTTGTTAACTGAGGCCTGGATTGAGAAAACAGTAAGTGGGGAGTTGATCCTGGATGAGTAAAGACAATCTCAGAGAAGTCAGGATTTATTCATTTTTTTACCTTACTTTCCTTCCAACACACAACCAAAGCAAGTTAAATAAAAGGTTGAAAGACACAATGTAAAAGGCAATTGTAATTAAAATGACACCTATCAATCAAATTATTTTAGACACTAATGAGCAGTGAATGCCTGTGTATGTTTATGCATATATATGTGTGTGTATATTTCCTACCAGCAGAAAGTTAACCACAAGAGAATAGTGATTTTTATCTGGGCTGGTTAATCTGACCTAACTAAGCAGGGAGTTCCAAAGGCACAAGTTTAGTAGGGATGATCCCCAATTATTCTTGTTGTGTCAGATCACTGCATCTATTCTACATACATTTAACTTTAATTATAATTGGCAGTGGTTTGTGCATTCCATTTTTGCCTGACTTCATCGCTTATATTTGAGCTGTGTACTGTATAGATAAACTTGCCAACACAGCATAATGTATCGGGTGTAAGAACTCTGGCTCACAAAAATACATGCCATAATCAACCTGTTGAAAGCCTTTAAGGACTCAGGTGTTACTACTTAATGGGATGCATTTGAGTTGGGTTGGTCAACTGCACAATCCCAGCCAGTTGTGATTTCCTTTGAAATTTGTGATCAAAACATCCCATAGCTTAGCGCTGGCTGGGAATTTTGGGAGCTGAAGGCCCCACACATCTTAAAGTTGCCAAGGTTGAGAAACTTAGTGCAGGATATAGATAGTCCTTGACTTACAATAGTTCATATAGTGACCGTTCATAGTTACAACAGCACTTGACTGTGTGACTTATGACCATTTTTCACATCCCCATGGTCACATGATCAAAATTCAGACACTTGGCAATTGACTCGTATTTATGATGGCAGCAGCGTCCCAGGGTCATGTGTGACCTTCTGACAAGCAAAGTCAATGGGGAAGCCAGATCCACTTAACAACTATGTTACCAATTTAACAACTGCCACGATTCACTTAACAAGTATGATTGGAAAGGTTGTAAAATGGAGCTAAACTCACTTAACTCTCTCACTTGGCAACAGAAATGTTGGGCTCAGTTGTGGTTGTACATTGAAGACTACCTGTATGAATCCACTCAAAAACAGCCTATTTTTTTTTACATAGGTCTAGTCCTCAACTTAACCACAACTGAGACCAACATTTCTGTTGTTAAATGAAACATTTCTTAAGTGAGTCTACCCCACAGAAAACAGTGTCACCTTCTCTTACCTTTTGCAGGTAGCGGTCATTTGTCCCCTTCTGTTGCCAGCTAAATATATCCAGCAATTTTGAATGGCTTCGTTTTTAGACCTCTTTATCCTAGCACCAATCTTGGAAGCCTGCTCCAGCTTTGCCATATCACTTTTTAAAGTGGGGTGCCCAGAACTGAAGATGTTGTTGAGTCACTAAATTATGACTTTTTGCAACTCCATGGATCCCAGCACACCCGGCTCCCTTGTTCTCCTGTGTCTCCTGGAGTTTGTCCAAATTCATGTTTATTGCGTCGATGACACTATCTAGCCATCTTATCCTCCGCCATCCCCTTCTCTTTTTGCCTTCCATCTTTCCCAACATCCAGGGCTTCTCTCTTCTCAGTCCTCTCTTCTCATTTGGTGGCGAAAGTACTCAAGCTTCAGCTTCAGTAGCTGTCCTTCCAAAGAAGTCAGGATTCCTTTAGGATTGATTGACTGACTTGATCTCCTTGCAATTCAAGGGACTCTCAAGTGTGTTCTCCAGCACAATTCGAAAGATCAATTTTTTGGTGCTCACCCTTTCTTATGGTCCAACTCTCATAGCCATACATTACTATTGGGGAAACCATAGCTTTGACTATAATAACCATATCCTGTAGATCAGGGGTCTTCAAACATGACCGCTTTAAGACTTGTGGACTTCAACTCCCAGAATCCCTCCTCCAGTCATGTTAGCTCAGGAATTCTGGGAGTTGAAGTCCACAAGTCTTAAACTTGCCAAGGTTGAAGACCCTTGCTGTAGAGTCTCACCCATGCTATTATTACCTCCTGTGATCTATGGCACATATGTTTGTTAACACAGCTGACTAACCCTAACTCTGGCCTGTTTGGCTGCTGCATCACACTACTTGTGTTCAGTTGATGGTCTCTGTTCTCCTAAATCAGTGGTGTCTGTAGGAGCTGATTGCTTTAGTCAGAATGCAAAGGAAAGTAGCATTGTGCTGTCATCTTGCAAGGTTCACTCTTCCGGGCATAGAGCAACATTGCCAGGTATGTTGAAAAAAAGCCATGGCTGACATAGCAATATTATGAGCCTGGTGATGTCATACCTCAACCTCCACACGTGTCCTAAATCCTTCTCACATGCATGGCTGCCAACCCAAATCTCCTGGGCCAATTTCAACAATACCCAGGCAGAACCTCTGCTGTCTGGGACATCAGTACAGAACCACATTTGGCCATCCCCCCTTCCTCCCACATTTATGTATTTCTCCACCCCATTACTTATACCAGGGGTCTCCAACCTTGACGACTTTAAGCCTGGAGGACTTCAACTCCCAGAATTCTCCAGCCAGCAGCTGGCTGGGGAATTCTGGGAGTTGAAGTCCTCCAGGCATAAAGTCGCCAAGGTTGGAGACCCCTGACCTATACAATTAGGCAAACTTTTCCAATGGTGGACAAGAAAAAATTAACACATTTAACTTTCTGGCAATCTTTTCATCGCGATTAAGCAAAGCTAGCCCTAAACATTATGCAAATGAGGTCGATTCTGATAAGAGTTTCGTCTCTCCGGAGAGTTTTGTTCTTTTTTTGATAAATCTATGTTCCTTTCATCAAATCTGGCGTGATAACAGTCAGCTGCGGAGAAGGGATGGAGAAAGATAAAGCCAGACTCAGCACCATGTATGTACGTATATACTGCGCTTGCGCTTCGCCCAAACTGAGGCCCTAAACGTCCCTTTTTCCGCCCTATTTTAGCCCTTGCGCGTGCGCAGTATTATGGTGACGGCAAAAAGGGAAGCCGGAGGAAAGCAATTTGTTTTATGATCCAGTGCCTCTTCTCCTACCGACTTCTCCCTTCCTGCGCGTGCGCAATCTCTCCTTAGTCTCTCTCTCTCTCTCTCTCTCTCTCTCTCTCTCTCTCCCCGCATGCGCCATACTGCCCAGAAGTCGCGTGCCTTATACGTCATCTCCCGGAGCCGTCCCGGGGATTTTCTTGGCATCCGCGCGGCGGTTTTGTTGGGGGCGTCATGGACGACGAAGAGGAGACTTATCGACTATGGAAAATCCGGAAAACAATCATGCAGGTCAGGAGAAGGAGGAAGAACGTAGGGGGCGGGAACGGGGGTAGGACACAGATGACAGGGTTTGCCATTCTGACCTGAACCTTATGGAGGGAGAAAATGCCCGGTTTCTCTTTATTTTGTATTTTTCTTTCGTGGCTTCGGTTCTCCCAGATCATATACAAAATATTTAGGTAAGATAACAGATAATCAGAGTTGGAACGGACCGTATAGGTCATTAGTCCAACCCCACCCCCCGCCCAAGCGGGAGACCCTACACCATTTCTGACAAATGGCAGTCCAATCTCTTCTTGAAGGTCTCAAGTGAACGTATTTGTTTTATTTGGATTATTTTAAAATAAGGTCATTGTTCCGGCTGGTTTGCAATTAAAATATATGGTGCTTTCATCAAAGCTACAAAATTAGTGTACTCGTCAAAAAAAAGAAAAGAAATGAGGGTAACTTTGTAATAAAGTTGTAAGTTTGGGGTTGGGCTGGTTAAAATTTGTCTGGGTATTTGAAAAGTTAGTGACCTAGACCCTATTGTAGTCAATTTTGGAAGATCTCAGGGGACTAAAATCAGATCAAAGACTATTAAATAATCCGAGAGTTGTAGGCTAGATTAGAAAAATGAAAAACAATTTAGATGAAGGCAAAACATTTCCCTACTGTTGCCAAGAAAACTACATTAATGCTTCCGTATATAGTATTTACCAGGACTTTTGTGGCTCAAGGGAGACCTTGCTTGAATGACAATGGATAAAAAGGGAGAGGAAATAAGCATGCATAAGCGCACCAAAACGTGCCTACTATCCCTGTCCTATTGTTTCTTTTTTTTCCTTATTCTTATCCATTTCATGTATTTATAACCATGTTTATACTTATACCTGTTATCTAATAATTATTTGACAAAAAAAATATATATAAAAAAAAACAGTGAAAGGTGATATATTTAGATTGCTGGCAAAGTCAGTCCATTTTCGAGGTTGCTTTATTGTCGACAGTTGCCTTAGAACATCTTGGTATATGTTCTTAAATGGATGGTTCACTACAGATAGTTCTCAACTTACAACACTTAATTTAATGACTGTTCAAAGTTACAATGGCACTGAAAAAAGTGACATGACCATTTTTCACAGTTATGACCTTTGCAGCATCCCCTATGACCATGTGATTAAATTCAGACGCTTGGCAACTGGGTCATATTTATGACCGTTGCTATGTCCCAGGGTCATGTGATCACCTCTTGCAACCTTCTGACAAGCAAAGTTAATGGGGGAGCCAGATTCACTTAGCAACGGGTTAGTAAATTATCAACTGCAGTGATTCACTTTACAACTATGGCAAGAAAGGTCGTAAAATGGTTCAAAGCTCACTTAACAAATGTTTCAATTAACATAAATTTTGGGCTCAATTATCGTAATAAGTTGAGGACTTACCTGTATTTTGCTGCTATAGTTACTTGCATTCTTCAGCATACTATTATATTAATATTTAAATGCACTTTTTTTTTGGTCCTTAAATCAGTTGTGTCACGATCGCGGCTATTTGGTAACCCAGGATGAATTGGATCAGACTCTGGAAGAGTTCAAAGCCCAGTTTGGTGATAAGCCAAGTGAAGGGCGTCCTCGGCGTACTGATCTCACAGTGTTGGTGGCCCACAACGATGATCCTACAGATCAGATGTTTGTCTTTTTCCCAGGTGATTATACCAAAAATAGATTTGGTTATTACTTCCAGAGACCTGGAATTTGCATCTTCATTCATTCTGCTTTCTTTTCCTGAATTAATTCACTTTTATTCGGTTTTTTGTTTCTTCCTTCTTTCATGTCTTGCAGTTTAAGTTCCTAAAAGCCAATCTTTTCTTTGAAGATCTAGAATGAATTTTCCCATCCCTCTTCATCAGTTCTTCCTACTAGCTGATGTTTACCATCTTTGTATTCTTAGAGTTAGGGTTACGAATGGAGTAAATGCGACATCTGTTGTTTTGCCTGTTTTTAAATACAGAGTGATGAAACAGTGAAATTGGCACATGAACTTTTTATTTACTGTAATGTCATTTGTTAGCAAGGAAGAAATAACAGTTTGACCAGTACACTTATAGGAAAAAAAACCTATACTTTTTAGTATGTAGTACAATTATTTTGATGGTAACAACTGTTTCATGAATGGAGTGCATTTATTCCTGAAGCTGATGGCATATCTTTTTAAAAAAATAATGATCAAGCAAAAATTTTATACCATTGAGAGTAGTTAGAAATTTTTCAGGAAATTTCCTTTTCTAAAAAACCTACCGTATATACTCGAGTATAAGCCGAGTTTTTCAGCCCATTTTTCGTGCTGAAAAAACCCCCCTCGGCTTATACTCGAGTCAGATTCCCCTCTGAAAAAAAAATGGTGTGGAGCTCCGGAGCTGGGCAGGCGCTTCCCTGCTTCCGTGTTTCCTTTGCAACTTTTAAGCATGGGGGTAATCGGAAGGAGAAAAGTTCTTGCATGAGGATATATTTTTTCTTTTTTTAACTTTTTAGGTGGGGGGGAAAGACCCACTGTCATGTGAGAATGCTCAGACACGAAATTTATCCGCCCAAAAATAAGTGTGTGTTTGTGGGGGGGGAATTTTAACAGAGGGAAGATGTAGGGAGAAGGCAAAAGCGACGGAAGATCCTTCAGGGGAAACTGAGGGGGAGACTCACCCTTGGTCCAGATGAGCCCCCTTCCCCACCCCTAAGGAAGCAGAGGCAGCCAGCAAGGGCAGGCAAGCCCCACTTCACGGACTCTGTCCGTCCTCGCTCCCACCCACCCACCCACCCAAAGCCACAAAGTCCCCCAATCGCGCAGCCCAGAATCGCCCTCCCCTCAGGGGGCAGCAATGACGCCCGGTTTTTCCCGAGACAAGAAGCTCCGCCGTGCAATTAAAGCGCCCTGGCTCTAGGCTCACGGGCTCAGAAAACAACGTGAGCCGAGGTCGCTTCGGCTCCGCTCGGCTTCTCCAACATCCGGCGCCGCCCTGTTCTATGTGCCAGGCCTGGCAAGTCCGAGCAGCCAGCGCGTGGAGCAGGGCGGTGCCGGAGATCGTTGGCTGCCTCTTTCGCACCACGGGAGGCCTCCCCCAGCTGGCCAGCTGCTCTCCTCCTTCTCTGCCTGTTTGTTCTGTGTGGCCGAGGAGGAGGAGACCGGCCGGCTGGTTGGGGGAGGCTTTCTGCGCCGAGGGAGGCGGCTGCTGGTCTCCGGCTTTGCTCCGCTTCTCCGATGGTCCGGCGCCGCCATGTTCTTTACTTGGGCAGCCGGGCGCCCGCAGCGGCGCCCACGGCGGCAACAGGCAGTTCCGCCCGGGCTCCGCTCAGGTGTCCGGCTGGGGCTGTCGGGAGTTGCTGCCGCCGGTGCGGCCCCAGTCCCGCATCGCCTCGGGAAGGGAAAGGCAAAAAGGAAGAGCCACGGCAGCGCTTTGCAACGGTACCGGTCCGCGGCCCGGTGGTTGGGGACCCCTGATATACGGTATATAATATATTAAATGTTTGCATATTTATAAGAATAAGATACTTATAACTTTCATCTTCCGCAGCTGTACTAATTTCTCAACTAAATCAGCTTTTGAAGTACATAAAAATAAATGATATTTCATTGGACAATTTAACAAATAGTTAATCCTGCTGTTTTTGATTATATGGTAGGGCAATGAAACAGCTAGCGTGCTACTGGAAATTTTATTTGGATAAAATTCCAGCCACTGAAGTTATGTTTGAAAAATGGTAGTTGCAAGCTTCCTGCTTTACTACTAAACCTTTCAGTTCATTTATTATTAAATGAGAGCTTGAATTCTAATCCTGAAGCAGATGTCAGGCCTAATGAATGAAGTATTTTATTTCATGGATATTCTCCACTTACAAACAAACAAAAATCTCTTTTCAGAGGAACCAAAAGTTGGGATTAAGACCATCAAGATGTATTGCCAGCGAATGCAAGAGGAAAATATTACCCGGGCCTTGATTGTGGTGCAACAAGGCATGACTCCATCTGCAAAACAGGTACCTGAGTCTAAATTGGCAGAAGGGATGTTGATATAATCACATTGCTGGCTAAGAGATCCCCCTCACCTGTAATTTTCAGAGAACAGTGATCTCAGGGGAGGGCTATATCTCAAGACATTGTCTTTAATAGAGAACGTCATTCAAATTAGTTCTCAGAGTATTGGTCATAGAAATCTGTTTCACGACCATCTTAATGTTAATATTTGTGCACGTTTCATCTTTATGGATGTCAACATATCATCGAACAGCCCATCTGAAGTAGCATAGGATTGTCTTAGTGGACGGTCATATAAATAAGAGCCAACAATGTGCAGCAGCAGCCAAAAAAGGCAATACAATCAGGCTGCATGAACAGAGGGCTAGAATCAAGATCATATAAAGTACTAATACTGCTTTATAAAGCCTTAGTAAGACCCCATTTGGAATAGTGCATCCAGTATTTAATCATACAATATAAAAAAGATGTTGACATTCTGGAAAGAGTGCAGAGAAGAGCAACAAAGGTGATTTGGGGGCTGGAGGCTAAAACGTGAAGAACGGTTGCAGGAATTTGGTATGTCTAGACTAGTGAAAAGAAGGACGGGGAAGACATGATACCCAGTGTTCCAATATTTGAGGGGTTGCCACAAAAAGGGAGGGGTCAGCCTATTTTCCAAAGGACCAGAAGGCAAGATAAGGAACAATGAACAGAAACTAACCAAGGAGAGAATCAACCTAGAACAAGGGAGAAATTTTGAGTTTGATCTTTAAAGTACCAGGGATTGCAATTTCTGTATTTCTGTCTCCCCCTTTCCCATCAATTCTCTTCCTTAAGTCCCTTTCTTAAATTTACAGCCCTATCTGCTGCCTCAGTGTCTCTTCTCTCTTTTAGTCTCTAGTAGACATGGCTCCCAAGTACATCCTTGAACAATTCCTTCAACAGGAACTGCTGATCAACATCACTGAGCATGAGGTGAGGAAGGAAAAGGGGTGTGTGTGTGTTGTGTGTGTGTGACATTGGTTGGGCCTGTGAGGAGTGCATTGAGGAACAATATAAGCTCTGTTCTCATTCAATCGACAAAACCTGTTTCTGTGGTTGCCTGGAAGAGTTTTCTGTGCATAGCAGAAATCTAATTATATTGTGTTTTCATTCTTTTCTTTCCTTTTTGCCACTACAGCTGGTTCCAGAACATGTTGTAATGACCAAAGAAGAGGTGACAGAATTACTGGCCAGATAGTATCCTTTTGCCTTTGTACTTACTGTTTGGAGTATCTGCCTCAGTTTTCTGCTTGTTCTGAGTTGGGTTACTGTTATCTTTCAGATATCAGACAGGTTTAATTTTCTAGCATTATCCTGTGTTAAGATGAAACTTTCCAGGCAAATATGTCTAGGATTTTAACATGAATTTTAAAATGATATATTCTTGCATTTGGGTTGGGATAGGGCCTATAAAACTAGAAGCATATCAGGTTGACAGTAAACCCAATGTATGAGTAAGCATGCATTCTATTGTCTGAAAACAGGTCCATTAACATGCATTAGTTTTCACGGTTCAGATTGTAAACCTGGGTTTTACAAAATGCATTACACACAATATATCAAATGCAAATTAATCACATTACTTAAAACAGGCCCTGGATTTCTATGTTCTCCCAAACTTCAAATTACTGTACCAACTTCATTTAATTTAAACTAGCAAGTTGTGTGAAACTAGCCAAAACATACTATAATCCTGGTATAGGAAATTTTTAAAAGGTCCTGTTTTTATATGTTTTGAAATTTTTCCTTTAACTGCTGTTGTCAGTAAACTAAGGGAAAATCAGCTTCCAAGAATACAAGCTGGAGATCCTGTAGCTCGTTATTTTGGAATTAAAAGAGGCCAGGTAAGGAGCAGAGAAAGGGAGGCTGAGAATGTGTCATTTCCCAGTGGATTTGATAAATACACTATATGGAGGTTATAAGTGGCAATAAATTTTGCTATCTAAATAGAAGTTCAGGAAGCCTGATGATGAGAGAGAGAGAGAAAAAAAGAGACTTTTTTGATTTTTGTATTTCTCAGAGGCATCTACTTGGATTAAATGGACTTTAGCACAGTTGACTTAGGCTTTTGTTGGATCAGTTTTTTTTCTGAATCTACAGCTGGGAAACATTACTTACACACTCCTTCCTCTTCCTATTTTCCCCACAACAACTCTGTGAGGTATGTTGTGTAGAGAGTGACAGGCCGAAAGTTGCCAAATCTAGCATACTTGGAGGGATTAGGTTGGGTGAAGGGTGAACTTGTTGGTCTATAGCAGATTTCATTATGAAATCCTGAAATGCTGGCTGTCCCATCAGCCATTTTACAGGGATTCATTGTATAACCAATCTGCAAAAATAACCTGAATAATTTTCTTTCTCTGTTGTCTGCGTGGTTTCTTTAGGTGGTGAAGATCATTCGGCCTAGTGAAACAGCTGGCCGTTACATCACCTACAGGCTAGTGCAGTAGCCAGGAATTGTCGTATAAGGTACTATAGAATGTTTCATTATCTTAAAGGTCGTTAAAACAGACATTCTTTCCTTCCTCTTTCATGCTTCCTTCTGCTTTGTCGGATTTGTGTGGACCAAAGTATACAAAGGTTATAACAGGAGTTGGAGGGTTGAGATTTTATGTATCCATGTTATTCATGCTGTTTGGCGGTGCTGATAAGGCAGTCCATGGTTTTCTTTTTCATTACGGAGCAGGGCCTAGGTGGGGAGAGGAGGAGACATTTGCAAACCAGGGGATCAACTGTTGCGGGATTAAAACTCCCATCAAATCCCCTTCAACCTGGCCAATAATCAGAAGGCTGACAAAAATCGAGAGGAGTCTAGATTCTTCTCAGCCATAAGATGCTAAACCTGTCCCATGATTGAACGGTACAAAACTTAGGATAAAATGAACCAAAAAAAGTAGTTCTCTATTTCCCAATACTAAAGTCAGAAGAAAGAATCTGAATGAATCCGGATAGATAAGAGGTTTTTTTTTTACACAACACCTCATTCAACTTTGAAATTCCTTACCATGAGATATGAAGCTGGCTACTAGATTGTCTGGCTTCAATAAAAGGGGACGATGACACCAATTCACAGTCCTGGGGATCAATACAGGTAGAGATTAACGGAAGGGATCTTGTAGGTCATCTTCTAATCCAACCCCCTGCCCAAGCAGACCCAATGTCAACTAAAAAGATACTCCTTTGGTCTTTTTAGCTGCCAGAAAGGGGGTAGGGTGGGGGGAAGACCAGGGTCAAGGGGGAAATGTATGATGTAACTTAGTATCGGCTGCACCCAGCTAATGCCAACATGGCCACTTCTAATAAATCAATTTTCTTTTCTCTGAGATGCGGCGAGAGACTTTTGATTTGAATGAGGGTGGGTTTGTTGGAGCCCTGACAGCCAGCCAGTACTCTAAAAATTCAGCATTCTGGGATACCTGACCCCCGGCCTCTTCAGTCACTTCCCGACATCTGGAATGCGTGGAGAGAAAGTCGGGTTAAAATGGCAGAGGGAGGGGAGGGCCTCTCGGAAGAAAGCCTTCTAGAAGCAGCCCAGCTACGAACAGAATCATAAGCGTCACCGTTTCTGACAGATGGCAGTCCAGGCTCTTCTTGAAAGCTTCCAGGGATGAAGCTCCCACAACTTCTGAAGGCAACTTCTGTTCCATTCAGTAACTACTGATGGCAGTGGGGCTGCTCTAAAGGCCATCTCCTGGGGGGCTTCTTTGTGCATCAGTGGGCCACTGGGAAAACAAACCCACCGGGATTAGATGGGCTGGAATCTGACCCAGCAGGACACTGCTTCTTAATTGGGTTGACTATCTCTTCACTAGGACTAAGAGTTTGGCTTAAAAAAAAAAAAAAAGGAAAATCGCTTGCAGAATTTCACAGGGAATCCTCAAATTAGGATCACAGCGGAGCTAAGTAAGACAGTTGTTAAGTGGGTTGCACCCCATTTTATGACCGTTTTGCCACAGTTAAGTGAGTCATGCGGTCATTAATTGAATCTGGCTTCACTCATTGCTTGTGGAAAGCTGGCTGGGAAGGTTGTCAATGGTGATCATATGACCCTGGGACAGTGCAACTGTCAAAAATATATGCCATTTGTCAGGTGCCCGACTTTTGGTCACCATGGGGGATGCTACGGAGATTAGAAGTATGAAATCCAGTCATAAGTCACTTTTTTCAGTGCCATTATATCTTCAAATGGTCATTAAATGAATTGTTGTAAGGGACTCCCTGTCTATAATCATCCTACCTATTGGATGTAATAAAAACTGTAGCTAGTTTTGAAGAACATGGGATGGTATGAAGTGAGTATACAGGATTGGCAGAAGAATTATATGGTTTTTATTATTTGCTGACCAATAATACTTGCATCCAAAGCCAGATTAGGAATGTAACAGACCGTTAGGCGTGCTTGTGTGAAACAGAGTTCTCCAACCTGCTGAGCCCAGATGTGTTGAACTATAACTCCATCATCCAGCAGCACTCCAGCTATGAATGATGGAAATTTTACTCCAATTAACTTGGAGAACATCCGCTTGAGGAATGCTGGTGTAGAAAGGACAAGCATCTCTGTGATGTCTTAATGGGTGTTGTAGTGAATCAGCTAATTGCGACATGTATACAGAATTCAAATTAGACACTAATGCTGCTGCTTTTATCCTGTAGCATGGCTGAAGCTCTTTTTAACCTTATCCAGGAGACTGCTGATCTGCTTGCTTAACAGTCTTGAGCATAAGGAAATACAAGAATGTGAAGAAATGTGCCTACTTGAGACTTCAAACTTGAAGCTTCTAGTCCTTTCTGTCCAACCGGTCATGAAGAGGAAAGGGGTCACCAGCAGCACAGAAAAGGCTGCCCTTGATTTTCCAAACTGGACTTCCTCTTGCTTGTATAAGCTGGATGTATTATTTGTTTAGACCACATTTCTGGAATTTGGGTTTGTTTGGGGTAAATATTTCAGGCAGCAACAGTTTATTTTCCAAATCTGGATGAAGGATACTTTAGAAAGCTTCAAATGGGAGGGCTTCCTTAATTCCTTCTGTTGATATCAGGGTGAGGAAGGACAGGAAAACCCTTTCTGGTTTGGGGGACAGGGGGAACTCCATCAGATGCGGCTTTCGGTGGCCTTTTGTAGGGAGACAGTGGAGGTTCTATGGATTAAAATGGGGGAATAGACTGCTAATCTCCTGGGAATGCAAAAGAAGATTCTGGGAGTCACTTATGTAATTATGGACTTGTCACTTTTGTTTTTTGAAAAATGGACTTGTGTAAACTGTGGAAAAATATCTGGATTCTTCAGAAGGTCCCTGAAGATCTGCTGCCTTCCCTGTTCTGTTAACTATCGCTGAGTTATTGCTAAGGTTCAGAGTTTGCTCAGTGGTCCAGAATTTTTTATTTCAATAAAACAGAGTATGTTTTATTTCTCTCTCTCTTTCTTTTTTTTTTGTTGCCTTAAGATGAACTGGGAATAATCTCTGCCCATTCATATTCACTGGGCTGTAGTTCCCCTTAATCTATCCAGTATGGCCCTTCTACCTGTGGTTGTGCTATTGGAGTTCAGCAACAACAAATGTGATTGTTAAGATTCCGAGTAATGAACCCAACCAAACATTAATTTTAGAGGGCTGCAGCTTGCCTTTCCACAAGAATCGATCCTCTCTAGGACTTCTTTTCTCTGACAAAAGCAAGGAAGGGAGGAGTGTGGAACCCTGAGGGATCTCCGTTTAAATCAGGTGGTTTTGAAGGAGGATATCCATTGCTTTCTGAAAAGAAAGGCGCGCTCAATTTGAATAAAATATGGAAGATTCTTCAGTGCAGTTTTGTGGGAGGGAGAATATGTGTAGCTAGGTAACCACATGAGTAAAAGGTCTGAAGCGACAGTGTTTTAATTGAAAAATGAGCTCTGACTGTGGTCGGCAGCTCACTGAACACCTTGAGCATAGACTATTGCATAACAGCTAAATTATTAGATACATGAATATTTCTATGGTAGGGTAATCATTACTAGAAATGTATTAATTACTGATAAAAATAGCCGTCATTTAGTGATTGCCTCATTTAGCAACTATTCACAGTTAACTGATGAAAAAGTTACTTTGCAACCTGTCCTTGCATTTAGAAACTTTGCAGATCTGTAAAGCTGAACAGAATTCATAAGCACAGCAGTGGTGTCTCTTAGATACTGCCTCACTTAATGACCAAGTAGCCAGTCGTAGATGGTAATTGAGGATATCTGTATCGTCAAAATCCAAAGTGCGGCTATCTTCAGGTTGATGCAACCAGGTATAGTAAGTCTATCTGAAAAGCTTCTCAAATGTTGAACATCTGGTCTTGGGCAGCAAGAGATAAAGTGAGCTATGATGGGAGCAGCTCTGAAGCAACCGCCAATTCATTTTCCAATCTAACCTGATTCAGAGGAGATGCTAAGCCAGGGCATGGTTAGATGTAGGGTGATGGGTGAATCTAGACAGACCAGAGGTTTAACTAGTTACCGAATCCCTTAACCAGATTGTACTTGTGGTTCACAGTAGGCTTAGTTACCATGGTGCTAGTTTGCAAATCATCTGAAGATGGATTAAAGGGATGGATGGCTTTTAATCTGGGCTAAACCTCTGGATGTAGAGGGGGAGGGAAGGTATGGCCTTGAAACGAGGTTGTGGCAAACATGGCCACTCCATTTATCTTCCTCTGAAAGAATAGAAAAAAAAGCAGTTGGGTGAGGCTCTTTGTCCACTGACTCTAATCCTGATCAGGCCATTGGATTTTTAATTCTTTTTAATGAGACGTATCAAAAAAATCCAAATGTGACTGGCTGTGGTTTGCTTGTATTTGTGGGTCTGGTTTCTTAATCGCTGTTAAGCTTAGACTATCATTCAAATATGTTTGTGGAGTGATCCTGGATCTTTGTCAAACTACAATATTTTTGAGTCTGATGTTACATTGTGTGAATCCAGCCAGCTGTCAACCATGATTCAACATGACATAAGAGCCGAGTCTCGCTGTTGAGAAATACAGGATTAAAACAGCATTTTTCAAACTTGGCACTAAGGTGTGTGGAAGTCAACTCCCAGAATTCTGGGAGTTGAATTCCACACATCTTAAAAGTTGTCTATTTAAAAACTGTACATTATAAGGAAAGACCCCACATATGCCTTCTATATGGACATATAAAAAACGGTTGCTGGAATTGGGTGTCTAGTTTAATGAAAAGAAGGACTAGGGGAGACATGAGAGGAGTGTTCCAATATCTCAGGGGTCAAAGAAGAGGGGGTCAAGCTATTCTCCAGAGCACCTGAAGGCAAGACAAGAAGCAATGGGTGAAACTAATCAAGGAGAGAAGCAACCTAGAACAGGGGTCTTCAACCTTGGCAACTTTAAGCCTGGAGGACTTCAACTCCCAGAAGCTGGCTGGGGAATTCTGGGAGTTGAAGTCCTCCAGGCTTAAAGTTGCCAAGGTTGGAGACCCCTGACCTAGAACATTCCAGACAGAACAATCAATCAGTGGAATGACTTGTGAATGTTCCATCACTGGAGTTTCTCATTTGTCTAAAATGGTATAGGGTTTCTTGCCTAAGCAGGGGGTTAGACCAGAATACCTCAAAGTCCCTTCTAACTCTGTTATTCGGAGTTTTTTTTTTAATGCAGAGAGTTACCTAGGAAACACTAAACACAGTTATTGGGTGCAAATATCACTTTCCCAAATACAGTTTATTTTTTGATACAAGTCTTATAAAAACAAAAGTGTATAGAGCAGTTTAAAAGGAAACAAACATTAAAATAGGCTTACTCACTCATACCTATATATATAAATACAAGCTGTGGTTGAAGACTTGCACTTGAACTTTATTCACTCATTTTTCTCATCCACACCTCAAGAAAATACCCAAGTCTTCCAGGGTTTCTTCCTAAGCATTTTAAGGCCTGTGGACTTCAACTTCCAGAATTCCCCAACCAGCATTGACAAGCAACCAGAATCACACCACAATACTGGCTGGGGAATTCTGGGAGTTGAAGTCCACAGGTCTTACAATAGCCGAGACTGGGAAACACTGTTTTAGATGAATGCTATAATTCAGTTATTTACAACAGACTTAAAGGTGATTTAACAGTTCTACCAGGCCTTTATTGTGAAATGCCCTCAAATCGTCCACAGTGGTTCTGTATAGGTGGCTATAGCTGTATAGGTGGCTTAAGCATATTTACCTCACAAATACCTTCCATTTCTGCTACAGATCTCAAATGGCTTCTCAGAATCTGAATACTGGTGCACTAAACTGATGGATTTCTCCAGCAGATCCCACTTGAGAGTACAGGTAGCCTTCGCTTAATGATCGCAACTGGGACCAGCCACTCTGTCGCTAAATACCTGGTCACTAAATAAAATGTGATCGCGATGGACTGGCTTCCACTATGGCCGTTAAGCAAATCATTGCAGTCATGAATTAAAATCTCATGTGATTGTGGCTTCTGAATTTACTTGCCTTCTTCGGCACTGACTGCTTGTCGCAAGCCAGTTCGAAGCACACAATTTAGCCAACATCCCCCCAGTTACCAGGTACCTGAATGAAACAAGTGTGGGGACGTTTCTCAGGTTGAAAATGTGAGGACTGGTCATAAAGTTATTTTTTCCACCGTAACTTTGAGTGCTAAATGAGGTGGTGGGTAAGCAAGGTCTCACATAAAGCCCATTCAGCTGGCTCTACTGGCACTTTTCACACAGCTGTGCAATAAGCGTATGTCCCCACCCCACCCCTCATTCCCCAATAAGATCATTCCACATGCACAACCCAACCCTGGTCCTGAGACCTCAGTAGGATTTGCACAAGTGGATTTAGCCTTCAAGTAATCCGTCATCCAGCCAAGCTCATCCAGCATTTTGTCTGTACCCTGATTTTAAAAATAAAATCCTGAAGTGGTTTTTACTTAGAAACAAATGTAATCTGCTAATGTTTAAATAAACGTATCTGAAGATCTAGGATCACAATGGGTGTATTGTTTCCTGAAAGGGATGGAACCTCAAGGATGGAAGGGAATGCAAAGTAACTGTGGCTCTTCTTTTGAAAGAGCATTCCACAAACTGCTGCCCCCCCCACCCCCACCCACCCCCGCCCCTGTTTGGATAGGACTCTGCAGGAAGCAAGATGGGAGCTGAGATCCCAAATTTCAGGATTTTGGCATTAGGTTAGAAAAAAGTGTCTTAAGAAAGTTTGGAAGTTGCAGAGTCTTCCCAATGTCTCCTCCCTGCATCTGGGGACTCCCTCCCACGGACGCCATTTTGCTATTACAAAGAATTAAAAGCAGGCTGTTATAAATAAGGAGCCTGATCAACCAGAAGGCCTTCAGAGGATGACTTTGAGAAGGCAACTGAAGGTTCACGTATCTCTTCACTGTCAGTCTCTACACTTAAAAGGACTCACTGCTTCCCTCAACTGACATCGTTTTCACTTTTACGCCAGGAAATCGAAAACACGTTCTTAGTTGATCAGCAAGTGGGAGAAAAGTGAGTTGTTCGACTGGTTGGAGTTGAGGTCCACCAGAAGACTTTCCACCTTCCTGTCGCTGTTCTCCTCATCACCTCCGCTCCTGAAGACGGCATCTCCTTCTGCCTCCCAGCAACCTTCTGCTGGGCCTAGGGGTTGTAGGGGCGAAGCATCCTCAGGGTCTGATTGTTCCACGCTGGGTCTCTCCCTCAGGACCCCTTCCTCACTGGCATCCTCACCGGAGGGGCTCTCCTCACCACTGGTCTCACTGCCTCCTGCACCTGAGTTGGCCCGTGGGAGTCCTTCAATGGCTGCATCTGTGCCATCCTCTGGATCAGAATCCGAATCGATAAAGGGAGTGTCCGGTTCTAGGAAGAAAAGAAAATGAACCCAATTGAGCCAAGAGTGGGATGACAAGGGTTCCTTGTGACACAAACATGGTGCGTTTTTGGCTTGTGATGCCAAAATTCCACCAGCTGAAGGAGAGGAGGCCCCGATGGCCTCCATCTTAGAAATATTCCAATTTAGAAGCATTCCAGCTTGGAGTCCTTTTGAGGGGAGGAAATGTTTGTGGTTTAACCCTCAGGCTTATCTCCACCGTTACCTAAGGAAAGGGAGACAGTCTGGCAAGATTCTTACCTTTGGTGATCAACAATAAAGAAACCTATTTGACCCATTCTTGGAATTGTTTTGGTTGCTTGCGTCTGACATGCACCCCTTTTTAGCTCTGCAATTTCTGCTTCTTTTCAGCTTGTGCCAAACAAGTCTTGTAAGAACACTCCCCTTGC